TAAAACTCACCTGCTCAGAGTTTTTTTGCTTCATTTTTTTTCTTCATTCATTTTGAAGACTGCAAATAAATGGTTTCCTATTTTTCCGGGTCACTTCTGCCGGTGTAACCTTGTAACTTTTGCCTTTTCAAAGACGGATTCCTCCTCGTAAAGGTCCGACGCTTCGGTCTAAACTCGACAAAGGAGCCTGCGCCCTTTCACATTTGAATCTTTTCACGTTTTGGAAACATTTCAGCCACGTCTGAGCCGGAGAGGCCTTGACGTCGCCAAAGTCAATCAAATCAAATCGTCAACGTGTAAAAAACGAAGCAACTCAACATGTCCCTTCTCTGTAGTGAAAACAGCTCCCGAAAAAATCCTAACACAAGTTGGTTTCTGTTGGACGCAAGTTTAAATATTCATACTGTTCTGTCACATTGCCCCACTTCTTTTAGGACCCAATTATGGCCAGAAATGACTTAAAATGGAGATTTCTGCAGTGTAGACTTTTGATTGATTGCCTAAATTGGCTTTTTTTTCCCTCTCCTATGAAGTGGATGTAATAACGTCTGCGGCTGAGAGGAAAAGCAACAAAATGGAGGCAGGAGCAGAAGCACACCACCCATAGGTTCCCTATAGGGAGTTTTTAGGTGATTTTTTTGGGGGGGATCTGGGCCGACACTGACCGGTTTCTGGGTCCACGGAGAAGTAGGGCTGCCCCTCCAGGATGCTGTACACCACCCTGGCGCTGTTCCCGTACGTGGCGTCGTCGGCGTCCGTGGCTGTCACCTGAATTACCGAAGTGCCTGCGGGGGAGGAAGATTCATGACAATGATTTAGATCAACTCCTCAATACTGCTGAAAATTGCCTGCTGGATAATTGGTTAAGCTGATGCACCTTCTGATGAGGTGTCGGATCCTCTTCTAATCACGCTCGTGCAGAATGTGACTGATCATTTCTGTCCCTTCGCGTTACCCAAACCGATCTTTATTCCTCGGCCACTTATACCCTTATACGTGATTGATTTTCGCAGCTAATCGATAAGTCCTAATGTATTTTTCTAAGTATATCTCTCTAAGCATGCGAGCGGCACCGATACCGGCTCTTTGCAAACCCCAAGAAGCCTATTAGCGTATCCACAGATCTGGAGTGTCTAAGAAGCCAAATATCTGATAGCAGGCGAGCGACTGTGATCCATTTTCTCTTCCAGAGAGGCTGAAGCCCTATTTCAATAGAACAAAGGGAAACGGTTAGCCAAGTGCTACCTCCCAAATGGCGCCTTCCGGGGCCAAGTGTTGCCTCATTACATGCAGAAGAAAATTAATTGAGTAGAAATATTTAATGGCAAAGTGGTATAAATATAGAATTGTGCAATACAACGGGATAACGACCTCATGAAACTTCTCTAATTCAATGTCAGTCGAGATCTGAGCGGGGCGAAAAGAGGAGAGTTTCCCCTTCTTTAAAAATCAATGTCATCCGTATGGATGAAGGATGTTGTAAAGGAGAAAAAAAAAAAAAAAGCTGAGGGACCAGAGAGCAGACAGAGAAAGACCACGGCTGTCTGATTTGGTGTAAGTGACAGTTCGGGAGGATTCTCGAGCAAGTTCACCGAACCTTGATCGCTAATACCTTTAACTAGGGAATTAGACTCAAAGAGGCTTTTCTGACATGGCGGCTTTTAGAAAATATCACTGATCCACATCAGCCATCTCATCGCCGACTTTGAGCTTTTCAGAAAAGAATTTTCTGACAAACAAGTGAGGAATAATCTCACTTTTTTTTCCTCTCTCTCTCTTTTCTTAAGCGCAGGGGGAGTAAATTACCCCGACTGTAATCACTCAGTTGTCAAAGTCGTCCCTGACGGAGAGTCCGAGCGAAGAATGTCAGCGGCTGTAATGAAACTCAAAGTGTGTGTCACGTTTAAAGGGCCGGCGTCTCAACGCAGCCACTCGTGAACACATGCTCTTCCAAGCGGTGACATCACACCTCGGTTGTTGCCATGGGCACCCGCGCTGCCCTTAGATAAGTGCCGGCCTCTCTCTTGGGGATGCTGAACCAAGTGACAACTCTGTCACATGTCTCGGCTGCAGGAACCGACGTCCCTCAGTCCCCGAAGCAGCAGCAGCAGCAGCAGCAGAGAGTTCGCTCCATGTTTTCATGCAAGTATTGATTAGGAGCCTTTTTATATTGTTCCTGTTTATTCATGAGGGCAGCGTGTACTTTTTTTGGACGCTAAGAGCCGCAGCCAGAGTGCACGGTTAAAGTTTAATTTGACTGACAAGAGCCAACGATAATCTGGGAGACAGCGGAGCCACAAGCCGCATGCATTCCGGCGTGACAATGTCGGTAATTAAACTGAATTAAATACTGTTTTTAATAAGATACAATACTGTATTTAAAAGATTATCTGCTCCGGCGCCGTCGCAGTACCTTGTTTATTCTCCGGTCATAAAACAGCACCGAGTCTTTCTCATTTAATTAGTCGGGCCTCTTTGTCGAGTCATTATTATGATTGATAAAGTCCCATTGATCCGGTAAGACTGGCGTTTTACAACGTCTCTATCCTATTTGAATCATAATCCTTTTAATTCACTCTCTGCGCACACGCGGGTGCAAACCTTGATTTGTGTAAACATTTAATTGTCTGGTTTATGATCAATAAGCACGTTTTTTTTCTTTTCTCTGCCGGCTGTACGGCGCCGATGCGTACGAGGGGTGTTTATGGGGAACGCACCGATGTCGGACATCTCAGGGACTCGGGCCATGTAGGGGTCCTTGGTGAAGCGCGGCTCGTTGTCGTTGATGTCGTGGATCTTGATGATGAACTCGGACTCGCCCTCCAGCGCCTCGTTGGTGAAGCGGTTGACGGCTTTGGCGTGGAGGATGTAGTAGGCCTTCTCCTCGCGGTCCAGCCTCTTGGTGGCGTGAATGTCCCCCGACTTCTCGTCTATCTTGAAGAGCGTCCCGGCTCCGTCCCCGGTGAGGACGTACTTCACGCTGCCGTCTCCTCGGTCCGAATCCGAGTGAAGCTGCAGGAAAAATAAATAAATAAATAAAGAAAAAAGGAAAATATGATCCCTGCAGCAAACAACCATCCCCAGCAACAGTTTGTGGCATTTTCATTTTAATAAATTTCCACTTTGCTGCTCTCTTATTGCTAATTGTTATAGCACAACAGTGATTCAAAGTCGGGTTTATGAAAGCTTTCACATTTGCTTAATTTGCTATTATGAACGGCGGAGTGTCAGCTAGCCTTTTACTGGGGGAAAAATCTCGTTAGCATGAGCGGAAATGGCACCAGTGAGCAGAAAGCTCATCTGCAATAAAGGAGAAAAGAAATAAAACATCACAGCGCTGGCTGCACTGCCTTGTTGATTGACAGGTGATCTCTGAGAAGTGAAGTGCAAAAAAAAAAAAAAACACATCCAGGCAGCGAACACTTTGTACCAAAGATGTCAACAAAATCAAATTTCAAAGCTGAATCACAGCTTTCCACATAAGTATTTCTGATACACTGTGCACATATCGGGGATCTGACCAATCTGGGCCTCGGCAAATAAACACTGACAGCTTTGATAAGTGTGTTTGGTGTTATTTAACAGATTCATATCATCTTTAGTAAACTGTCATTGCGTTGTTGATGATACACATCCGTGGCTTCACCTCGTCTCTGTGAAATCCTGCCAGCAAGAAAAACACAGTTGGAGCGTTTTTTGAAAAAAAAAAAGCTGCATTTACTGGTATTGTTACATGCAGGTTGTCACACTTCTTCTTCTTCTTTTTTTTTTTTCTCTTTTCCTACCGCAGGGCCACGGTGGCATTTTCACAGCGCTGTAAAACAGAATGCCAGTGGGTCGAAGTCTGTGAAGTACCAGCATGAGTGCGTCCGCCGCCTGCCAATCCCTGATGGATCGGCAACACGACCAACATGCCAGAAGACCGCGAGAGTCCACTTGTCGGCGGAGCTTCTCATTATTATTATTTGCTCCCTCCCTCTCCGTCTATCTGCCGTTTGATTTTTGATTTTTTTATATATTTTGTGCATGAACAGCAGCTTAGCATGCTCTGACATTTTAATTCCGCCGCCAAATCCCCCCTCCAACATATTTATCTCCGAGAACTCATCAAAAGCTTGTCCGGTCTTTTCTCCCCTCCCACTGCTTTGCCTGACGACTTCCCTTTCCCCTCCACTTTTTTATTTATTTATTTTTTTGTAATCACCACGGCGGTAATGCAGGAGGAGGTAAAAGGGCGAAAAAAGGGGGGATGTTTGCAGACAACATGTCAAGCGACGCCATTTGAATGTTTACCCTGATAAGTGGGCGTAATTCTGGGGTCCGCCATTAACACCTCGTTAACTCAAGAGAGCGTTTGATTTGCCTTGAATGCATATATTTTATGTTTGCTGCCCACAAAGGCCGCTTGCTGGCGGCTGGCGGCGGCGGCGGCGGCCAGACTGAGGGGGGATATTGTGCGTTTGCAGCTGGGTCACGTGGGAGCACATTGCAAAGTCTCCCTTTCTCATCATATATTAAAAAGCTTTTCATCCCAGGTGCTCCGGAGCTTTACTAATTCATGCTGTTTTATCAGGGGCAAAGCTGGCACATGTGAGACGAACAGCTTTGTGGATTAGCATCTTTAACACTATTTTGTTCGCCTGCTTGAATGCCGGTTATAGAAAAAAAAAAAAAAAAAACTGTTTTCATTCCTTTTCTCTCTCTCTGTCTGTCTAACCGAGCCAGTCGAGTGTGTTGCAGAATTTTAGTATGTTCGGATTAGGATCTAGAGTTGTTTCATTCACCCACTTGAATTCTGGTCAAAACAACTCGTGTTTTTTTTATTTTTTTAAAGCCTTATTTTCTCTGTCTAACCAAGCCAGGAGAATATTCCGCAGATTTTTTTTTTTTTCCTTTTTTATTTGATTTCTGTTCTGCTTTACAGTACATGCTTCCAAACAGAGACTCAGTTGGCTGAAAACAATCCACTTCAACATTATTATCTTTCTCCCGCTGTTATAGCTCCAATGTCCTTTTCTATGATTGTCTATCAAGCTGCCTATCTCTGCCGGCACGACAATTCAGTTAATAACCGTCGAGTCCTCTCCTTTCGGCCGAGATGTGAGATAGACAGTGTGACATATGCTGCGTCGGCTGTCATTTCTATGGAAACAGAGAGATCTTATGGCGGCGCAGAGTTCCTCCTCGCTGCCCCTGAAGGATATTACAAGGCAGCTCCGAGTATTGAACTCCAGCGCCTGCTGCAGTGACCCCGTCCCTCCCAGTTGCCCACCTTGCTGGTGAGGGAAAATTTACTGCTGCCCTTCTACTCAAATTAAGAGGAGGGGGGAAAGGGAAGAGAGAGAAAAAAAAAAACCTCTCCCGGAAATCAATGTGGCAGCCCAACGTGCATTCACAATGGCCCTTTGATCAATTTATATCGAAAATACAATTAAACTGTCACAGGGGGGAGAAAAGGAAGCCACATGTGCAGTCAGTATGGTCGCCAAGAAGCCCTGGCACATCGATAGCTAGCCTTTTCTCCTCTGCCCTCCTATGGTAGCAGCAAATCGTAAAAAAAAAAAAAAAAGCCAGAGAGCATGACGCTATGTCCATTAATGGGAAAAAAAAACTCCATCTGATCATGTCATTCTGTTAATAATGGGGGCGATATTTTCTTACAGGTATAGATTAAGTTACATAAGATGATATCTATCTGCAAAATATAAGCTAGGAGTCGGCTAGCTTAGCTTAGCATTAAGCTGTAGACAGTTGACACATTATTTGTTAAATATTGAGCTCGTAGGTGGATTTTCTTACCTTTAAGACATTTCTAGACATGCGATATGTAATATTATTGCTTTATTAGTCTGTTTAAGTGGTGGCCTTTAGCTATTTAGATAAACGTCGCTTCATTCAGGCAAACCCACTACGGACAGGTGACGCAGCTTAATTCACTGAAACAACAACCAAACTTGTTTATTTTTGATTTCCTGAAAGTTTTGTTTATTTGTGACGATAATCTAACTTTGCCAACAGTAAAATAAATATATGCTGCAGAGGAAAGACTCCTACCAACAGCTGGAAGCGACAAATCAAACTTCAGCTCCTGTTCATGTTTGAAACCTGGATTACACGAGTTATTGGTGAGTCTTTGATTTTTTATTATTATTGGTTTTACTTGAGCTGTTACAGACTTTCCTCATTTCACTAAAGTCCTATTTTCTGGACATTTCTGGGGTTATATACGTTTTTATCTTGTGGACATTTGACATCTTTTGTTTGCATAATTTACAGCATGTTATTGTTTATTCTAATTATAGACAAACGGTTTGTATTCATTTTCCTGCCAATACTGTGGAAAGAAGCACACAGAAACTGCACACGGGGATGCGTTTAAGTGATCATTTAGGTTATTTTTTTACATTCAGTGTCACAGTATTTCTAATTTTGTTCATTTCCACTGCAAAACAGCATTTTGTAATTGGAATTTTTTGTCTCTATTACCTGCCAGAAAACCACCACAGCACCAAAAATCATCTTTTAAAATTCTTAAAGTTGAATTTTCCATTACTCTAAAGCAGCAAGCGGCATTAGTCAGTGTCACTGCTCACCTGTCTGAGGTGAAGGAAAGTAGACAGGGTTATTTACCGTTAGCTCCTAATCCATCCTGTTGGGGATCATGTATAACCCACATACATAAATCTGGAAAAATTCCTCACTTTCAAGACACTAACATGGATCCTGCTGCCGTCTAATGCTGAAGGTATTTAATCAACTCAGAGAAAAGACTCCAACAAACCACTAGAAGCAACAAAACCACAACAAAGTCTTATTTTTATGGACGTTAAAGTTTAGAATTAGTGTGTCTTTAACTCTCTATGATAGTTTTGGACTAATATCGGTGCTGAAATGTGGAAGAAACGTCCTTAAATCACTTCGTACGACTTAAATACGTCATTGTGTCGCGCTAAAGTGATACAGAAACGTTTGTAGGTACAGCAAGCCTGCCGTCGCCACTTTAATGGATGATACATTCAGACAATGTCAGATTAGAGACAAAGGCTTTGGTTGGCTTTACGCTGAGCTAACCAGCTCCATATTTACCATCCAGACACGAGACTGACGTCAATCTCCTCATAGCGCCGAACGAGCATTTCCCCAAATGTCAAGCTGTTCTCTTAAAACAACTCACCGTGTCAAACAGTTTGCAATAATTTTCTCAAATTGCCGCCTGCATCCCGAGAGACAAAAAGGAAGAAAGGGAAAAGTTGCACTAAGTCACACTCACATCGAGAAAAATGAAACTTGATTTCGCCGAATACTTGAAACAAGCTGATTTGCATTGGAAACAGGTTGAACTGTTCTCCCGTTCTGAGAAAATAAGACTTCAAGGACTCAATTACAGACAAAAATGGCTTAAGAGGAAGATTTCTTTGCAGAAGAATCAGCTGTGAAACAAACTATTAAGCAGTTACTTAAACCATTCTGTCGCCAATAACACGCCGCCTGTATATACGTTTCAAAACCTTCCACTCAATTAGCCTCCTCGGCTAAGTGATACCATAATATTTCCAATGGTTTGCTTTTTTTTTTTATTATTTTTTTTTTCTTCACAGGAGAAGATATTTATTTCCATTCCTACGTGCTTCATCTTTCAGTTTGAAGTGGGCTGAGGACTGAAGTGGCACTCGTCAGACATCTGCGCGTGAGAACTTACAGGCGAGCCGTCTTTGTTTGTGAAATTAATCAGCTTCAAGTGCAGCAAATGTTAGTGCAGGCTCGATCTGGCCGCCATTTGTGCTTCACTCGAGTTAGGCCAAAAAAGATGGCACTGGAAATGGGCTGCTTAGGGCAATTAGCCAGTTAGCCTTTAAGGCCTTGTGTCCTGGCCTGTCGAGAACTGGCTGCCTTCTACGTAGCCAGATGGTAGCCTCAGAGTGAGCACAAAAATAGCCCGTCAAATGTCTGGTGATGTGTAAACTTGAGATATGCAGTCGGAGCTGCAGAGAGACTTAAAGGTGAAATGTCAG